CTAAGCCTAAGCCCAAGGCCTCCTAAGCCTAAGCCTAAGCCTAAGGCCTGCTAAGCCTAAGCCTAAGGCCTGCTAAGCCTAAGCCTAAAGGCCTCCCAAGCCTAGCCTAAGCCTAAGCCTAAGCCTAAGCCTAAGCCTAAGCCTAAGCCTAAGGCCTCCTAAGCCTAAGCCTAAGGCCTCCTAAGCCTAAGCCTAAGGCCTGCTAAGCCTAAGCCTAAGCCTAAGGCCCCCCAAGCCTAGCCTAAGCCTAAGCCTAAGCCTAAGAATAAGCCTAAGCCTAGGCTAAGCCTGAGGCCTCCTAAGCCTAGCCTAAGCCTAAGCCTAAGGCCTTCTAAGACTAAGCTAAGCCTGAAGCACGAAGCCTGAGGCCTAAGCCTAAGCCTAAACCTAGCTTTCTTGTAAGAATGCTATAGGTTCAATTAGGTTTCAGGTTAGGGTCTCACCCTGAACAAGGAGGAGGTTAACTTGATGAACGAACGTGATATTCGTGTTCGGCGGGTCAAATTACCTTCTATGTTTAAGTTTCGGCGATTTTTGAGGTTCCAAGTCCTTGGTCACTGACGTTTGTCCCCTAGTGTCTTGTGTAGAGCGCACTCGTTTGACTCTCTAACTGCGCCGAATTTTGACATCTTTTTTTTCTTGCTGAGGCGAATAAGGCAAGATCTAGCATTCATAACAAATCCGAATTAATGCGCATGCTCTAGGCTAACGGCTTCAAGTTGGCTTTTCACTCCAAAAATCCAAAAAATTCCCAAGTTTTCGAAAAATGTTTCGGCGTTTTTAATTCGTGTTGAAAGTCTAAGCACTTTGGCGCACTTGTAGAACACATTGAGCTCTATACATTGCCAAGTACGAGTGCGCCATATCCAAAGATGGTAAAGTTATGAAAGGAGTTGCAAAGCTTAGTTTTCAGCCTAATCTTATATATAAAGCTGAATGTCTGTATGTATGTCTGTCTGTCTGTCTGTACGTATGTGCGGAATAGAAATTTTTATTTCTAAACCGATCGGGACCAAACTTGGCACACATATACTTCGGGGCAGGGAGCGTGTCATAGGCTACTTTTCGTTATCGATCGATATTGATTTTATCGATTTTTTGCAAAATTTGAGCTACAGGGCTGGGAGTTGGCACAGGGGGGTAATCGAGCATGCTGATTACGAATATAATAATGACAGGCCCGGACGGAGCCGGGTTTGCCAACTAGTATTTTATAAGTTAATTCAGTCGTTCAAATGTAAACAGGTATGCACCACACAAGCTCACACCGGCTTGCACGTCACTGATATACACTGAGAGGAATACTGACCCAAAGTCAAGCTTAAGAATTTTTTTTAAAAGAATAAAAAAGAAAAAAAAATTCCTAAAGTTCTCTGATAATCAACATTGTTTTCAAGATAAGAATACATTCTAGAGATTTGCAAAAACTGGCACCGAATTTTTGAAATCTTACTCGGCACGGAGCCCTATTCACAGGTTGGAAAATCTTCTACTGCTGACTTACGCAGTAGTAACTCGAAATTTTCTAAAAGTAGCCAATCCGCTGGTGAAGCTAGGTGAGCTGAGAGTGAGAGTTTGTAAGGCGAAGGATTTGCTGCGGCGCAAATACGAATCAGAAATTGTCGCACAGAAACTACACTGAATTGTTTATTGATCCCAAATTATTATGTAGACAAAAAGTACTTATTCATTCTTTTGTGAAACTCCGAATTTTGAGGAATAGGTAGAACCTACTAGGATAAACGGAAAATATGGGACACTTCCGTCGCTTGAATCTTCCTTTTCACTAAAAACAACAACAATTGATCAACAATGTTCTCAGTAATCGTACCGGGGAGCTACGCAACCTCATTTTTGGTGGGACTGCCTCAGGGCCCGGCACGAGTTGGTTTCTAGGGTTTTTGAAAACGAAGTCTCCCCTGACTTTCGGAAGTTTTACGAAGTCCCCTTTGACCTACATGCTTAGGAGAAGATAAAAACAAGAAAGATTTACTAGTTTGAAAGAAAAAACGTAAGATAAGAGTGAAAATGAAAATTGGAGCTGAATACTACGCATGCACAAGACTTTGGCATTAGAGCGCGATATCTAGCAAAGCGAGAAGAAATGAAGGCAAAAACAAAGAAAAGGCAATGCTATGAAAACGTCTTCATGCTCAGGGATAGATTTTTGACCGGGGAATCCGTCCATGCTGAAAAGATCCGAAACTTATGTGAAGTGACGAAAATATATGCTCCAGACGATCTCAGATCGTCTGGTGGCCGTCTGGCGACGATCTAATTTTGGAAAAGGTATTACTTCACATAAGTTTTCAAATCTTTTTACATAAGACTTTCGCAAATAATTTCTTTTACATACAGTTCAATTTTAGTGTCATATGCTTTTGTGTGTGCTGTAAACAAGCAATTTGTTTATTTAAGCCTTGCTTTCAAATCGCGCGCAATTTTGCACGATAGAGCATGTCAAACGTGTGATAACCTGCTCGAAAAGCTTGTGTTCGACTAAATGGCGCTTATTCTTGGTGCTCGGTTCCGACTCGTCAAAAACGATATCCCCTTTGCTGTTTGCTTCAAAAACGAAGCCCAGCCTGCTTCCAGACGATCTGTGCCGGGCCCTGGACTGCCTTCAAACTCGTTGCAACTCACAATCAGTTACAAGTCGCGGGATGCCGCGAGGAATGTGCAATACATATATCGTGTTAACGCAAGCTATCGTGTAGTATTCACCGTGGTTGGGATGCGCAAAAGGTTGTTTATCTTCTAGAAACGTATACGGTAGCATCAAACACTAATTTGAATGGGTTGAAGTACAGATCACTCACAAAATTGTGGCAATGACGGCTTTAGCTTATGCACGCGGTTTTATTTGCATGTGTATGTTAGTGCTGGGCCTTTCACACTTTCTTTGACGTTTAGAATCTCTATCTATTTAATGGAGTTTTTCAAAAGCACATGACAACACGCAGCCGGTGAAAGAAGAGCAGTACTGTTGCAGATAGTATGGGAGTAAGAGTTGCGAGGTGATTGGTATCAAACGTTTGAAAGTTCCCAAATTCTATATCCTTGGGTCAAGGTTCGTCTAGTTTGACTGTATTGCTTTGCACCAGTGGCGTACCCAGGATTTCCGTCGGGAGGGGGGGGGGGGACAAAATAATTTTCGGATGAACTGCGTGGCGTTAGCCATGCACTCCAGTTTTCTGGGATATTTTCCAAAATTTTTCCGGCCCCCTGACAATTTCAGAGAAAGGGGGCGTGGTGGCAGCCACGCCTCCAAAAAATTTTTTTACACTTTTGAATTTTCAAAATTTTTTTGAAATTATTTTAATTATTCACGAGTGCACATTTTAATAACACACTTAAGTAACTTTCAAAAATTTCGCCCTACCCCGCGGTACGCCACTGCTTTGCACATGTAAGTTTCAAGCGCTGAATCATGAACGATTCAAGGTGTGACATAAAGAGGCTAATTACCGGAGTTCAAAATTCCCTTTCACACAGAATGAATCATCTGCTGCTAAGGTAGAAAAAAGTCGTTGCTTTTCTTTGTGATTCACAAAACTGTACCACTGAACAGAAATCAAAATATGATAGTGTGTTTATGTAGCCATTTGTAGGATGATTCTCGCCCACATTGCCGAAAGTGTGCATTACTCACGTAAAGCACGCGCTCAGCCTTTTTTCTAGATTGCGACGTGTACACATTGGGAAGATAATTTATGCATATGCTTACGCCAGTAAACCAAAAAGAAGGAACTTCCTATCAGGTCTATTCGATCTGTTGTTCCTTCTCCCAAATAACCGGAAAAGAGCACTTGGGAAGGACACTCGTTCGAAAACTATCGATTTGTTTGTGCGTGCAAAATAGCAGCCTAAGCTACTTGTTCAAGCCGAATTTTACTGCAAAATCTTGGCACAGCAATTGCAATACTTACTAACAGATCTACTCGACTGTACCTTAGCTTGCTATGTCGTTAACGAGTACGAGATCAATCAGAAAAACCCTAAAGTGTGTATCTATGCGTGATTGAACTATTCCACGTCTTCCGGATAGGTAGGTGTCAGAGTAAGCGAGTATTTTGTTCAAGTTGGGGTCTCGCGCAGAATTGACGTCACTTGGATTGACGCCAGCATGGTGAGTGACGTCCATTCTGCGCGGGACCCCAACCTGAACAAAATATTCGCTTACTCTGGCACCTACCATACTTCTACTAGTCTTGAGTTCACAGAAGTGGATGTTCGAAATAGCAACATTTACAGGGAAAACAACTTCTTTGCATCGTCGCTGTACTGGATGACATACCGCAACGTATGAAACGCCTATCTTTCGAAAGAGTGACAATTATTACAAACCCTTTATTCTGAACCCAATACCTTCGATTATAAAGTTCAAATGAAAGCTAAAAGATCAGTAGAGCCCCATCTCCCGCTCTGCTTGATACATAACTTCACCCCTATTCATGACCGAGTTTTTGTGTTAGGCTAGATTGAATTGCGAAATGTTGCCTGGTCGTCATGTAAGCAGTTAGAGACTGATTTGAAAGAAGTTTAGACAGTGGCACCATCAGATCTAATTCTGATAGTTTAAGGATTCAGTGTCGTAGATTGTAGCAAAAACGTGCTTTTACCGAAAAACATGTATACCGGAAAAATTCTACGAAATTTGCTTTTGTCCACTTTTGTATTGTAATTTTGCCAAACATTGTTATCGAATCTGGAAAAAATGGAAGCAGGAAGTTTTCTCTGATAGAAATCTCTTCCTTCAACTTCCAAATTAGCATCATCTCACTTGATGTGCGCAAAAAAATATTTAGCTACGGCTACCAGTCTCTCACGTCATGATGCCAAGAATGAGACCAGTTGAGATGCTACTCCAGTAATAGTTTCGCCCTTTCCAAGACTAAAGTTGTCTTTTCGTGTTTTTTCAAAACCTTCATCGTCTCGTGCCTTATTCCGTCTGAGGACTGTTTTTAAACGCATCTTTTTATCGCTTGCTGAGGACTGATAAGGATGCGTTAATCTGAAGAAGACTCCTACGAGAGCTTTCTCTCTTTCAATTAGCCTAGCTTTTCGGTGAGTTCTTGATTTTTTTTATTGTAGTAGAAGGCAAGCGATCTCACGTGGCGAGGCTCGTTAAAAAGATGCTTCAGAGGGTTCACCTGGTTCTTTTGTGGATATTCTCATTTAGGCCCTTTTCTGTGGGAGGGATAAAGTAATTGACCACCATGCACTCTAATGGCGTAGGTTACTTTCTTGAAAATAAAAGCAAAGTTCATAAAGATGGCACGTTATGGCGACTGATATCAAGAATTTACATTCTTGGCGTTTTTTATAGCAAGTACCAAACAACCAATGCGTACTTTTTCTTCTTGCAGCGAAATTTTAGCGATAGATGAACATATCAAATCGTTTCAAAACGTTTTATAGTCTGAATCACTGCAAAATACTCAGGGTATCCTTAGCAGGTCAAGAGCGAGGCATCTGCGACCATGGCTCAAGTTAGCTCGGATCAAAACGCAGTCACTAGCAGTCCAAAAATTTTCATAAGCCTGAGGTGAAAAAAGCTTTCACGTTGTATTGCTTTGTACATAAGGTCTAGCGAAGGTCATGCTTCTGCAGCTTTCCATCAGTATATCGCTATTCCACTAATTTGCATCACTGTCATTCAGGACAAGCGACATATGAGCTTATCTAGTAATCGTAAATTTGGCGCTGCGACCAAAGTGAGTGGAGACGCGTTCATTTTGCGTGACGTACGCCTCTTCATCTTTATCATGTATCGGATAATCATAAGAATCTTTATGAGAAGACAGCACGACGTGTGATAGTCCTTATCTCCAGCGACATTAGTATAGCACAAATCGTGTCACTCAGCACGTAATCACTTCCATAAGAAGTTCGATAGAATCATATTTATTGATTTGTGTGAAAGCAATTCTGCAGTCAGTTTCTTCATCTTGAACGAACTCAGTCATTTCTAATACGATACGCTGAAGACGGATGCATTGTTGGACGTGGAGTAACGTCCTTCAATGCAATCGATTTGGCTTCGACTCCAATACGGCTTTTTCCGTAGATTGTGATTTTAGCATATAATCTTGAAGGCACAAGTTAGCTGTAGGCGCAGTTCTTGTAAGCATAGCTTCGTGGCGCTCTTTTTATATGCGAAGGAAGCAAAACAAAGTTTTATCCTCATTATATTTTAGGTCAGTTAAGCAACGCTGGATATATTCGAGGTTCTAGTGCATAAGGAGTTTGAGACTCTACCACTCGAAGCAGGGTGCGTTGTCCAAGTCGAACGTCAAGAGGAACAATACAAGTCCGAGAAGATCTCAAGGCATGCTGAGGTACTGCCATCCATTCTTTGTAAATTTCGTCGTTCAATCGCGTACAGCCATTCCACTTTATGTCATTCAAGCTAAGAAATCACCGTGCGTCATTCTACAAAACTCCTAACGGGGATACACCACAATGTTTGCTTGTTGATCTCGGTTTCGAAAAAGCACCGACTCCTCAAAAGATTTTTAAAAGACTTTGGTGGCACTGATTGTATTTTTATTTTCTTTAGTAATTGTTTTTATCTGCAATTCAGCTAACCAGTTTTTGGAAAATCACTGAGGTCTGCAACCCAGTTATGGTGTGGTCAAGTTCCGTGATCGTTCTAGATTTTTGTTAGGTTTTCAACTAACGTAAGATTTGCAACTTTTTCTCACTCTTTTCTTTTTGAGCGTGACACACTCAAATTTTGTCATCACGTAAGCTATGACTCAAGCTACAAGTGGAGATAAAATACTCTTGAATTCTGACGTTGCAGTGAGATTAGCGGAAATATAGGGCACGAAGAAATTTTCCAGATTTTTACAGAACTGGCTGAAATTTGGCATATGGGGTTATCCGACATCTGATCATGAAAACAGTATGGAATTTGTGGGTAGGGCTTTTATTTGCAAGGTTAGGTTTATTGTATGGGGTTTCGCCCTAAACACCAAAAGAAATGTTAGTCCAACAGATGAACATGATATTTGTGTTCGGCAGATCGAACCCCAATATGCAAGTTCTGGAGGAATCAAACTCCAGTATCTTCATCCTTGAGTTTCAGCAGCCTTGCGTACAGTTTGGTGACCTGTTCAAGTTTGCGAGTTCGCCAAATTTCGACTTATCTTCAAATTCCAAATCTTTTTGTTGATTGAGTAAAACAAGCTCTGGCAACAACGTAGCTACGATTCCGGATCGTTGTGCGTGATCTAAGACGCTCGCTTCATTGCTTATAACTCCTCATAAGTCCTCAGCTTTCAGTGAATTTTCAAAAATGCCTAGATTTTTTTTCGATTTGTCACCAAAAATGGTGCGGTTTGAAGCCAATGCCTCAATCTGCATAACATAAAAAAGTTCGCCAAAATTTAAAAGCGAAAAGTTACGGGATCAGATGCAATACTTAATTAACAGCCTAATATATGCACTCCGCGAAGTCCAAAGCTACAATTAAATGGAGTAAACAATTAGGATAATACATATTACAAACTTTTTTTCAACACTCATGGCAAGTTTGCAAAATGATTTTCTCAAAAGGAAAAAATGCCTGAGAAATATGGTGAAGGTCCGAAACAAGTAATTGTAAATAAGTTTCGTCTACAAAAATCAGCATTTTTCTGGAAAGCATCTCAGTCTTTCAACTTGTTAACATAACCAATGAAAAGAGGACAGCGTGGCACCAGCTGGAACAGAAAATCCGAAACGAAGTCCCTTTGACTCCTTTTAGTCCCCTCACATCTCCACTTCGTTGCCCTCCTTTCTGCTTGGGACAGCGGCCTAAACCAGAATAAAGGTCAACAAAAAGAACAAGGTGAAGATGAAGAAACCGAGCCCAGGGCCCGGCACGAGGTCGGCAAAAGGGGTTTTCGAAAACGAATTCCCCTTTGACCCAAAATTTTTTTACGATTTCCCCTTTGACCCAAAAATTGATCCCAGTGATTCTGCAGTGAACACTTTAACCAAAAAACAAGTTCTATTGACAAAAAAACAGAAACAATTCATCTATGACAAAAAAAACAAAAAATGAGATCACATTAGAGATCTCTACAGTCCGTTTGATCCGCTTAATCCGCTTGATCCGCTTCGTGCAAAACGCACGTTACTAAGTTCTCATTCAGCGTCGCGTACAACGAATTTGGTCAACCACACGAAATTCCTTTTTACCTACGCAGCGCCAAATGACAAACTGCAGTGGCGCGCGTTTTGCACGGAGCGGATCAAGCGGATTAAGGCGAACACGCAAAAAAAATTCTAAAATGTTGATGCGTGATTCTCATTCCCACTACTAGGGGTAAAGTAGCCATTCCCACAGAAACAGGAGTTGAATTGAACTGAATGAGGATTAACTTCAAAAGAAAACCTGCTTGTACTAGGTTGTTCGAAAAGTTCTGCCAATAACATTGGACTATCTTGTTCTAATGACATGTTATCTAAAAGCGAATGTTAGCACCAAACAGTGATAGATCATATGTGCAGACCATTGCCAAGCATGTTGCTCACCCGGTAGCGCGTCGAGGCGTCATAAATAGACCTCGAGTTCTTTGACATTGAAATAAAAGAAGTACTGCTGCTTGAAAGGAGCGTCAGTATCAGAGCAAGTATTATATTCGACGAGCACGGGAGGATGTAGCTCAGAATCTCAAACAAGCTTTTGCAAGGTTTGCAGTTCTACCAACTGAAATAAAGTTCCGTATGACGATCTTGCAACCCACTACAGCCACTATTGTACTTTCGAGCTGATTAGCGTATTTGATAGTTGAACAAACGTGCGACAAGAACAGACTTCAAAGCAGCAACTTTCCTTTCCGAATGTAGTCGTCATTAAAAGAGTTTGCAGAACTTTTCTGAACAACCTAACACATCTTTTGAATTAATTCCAATTGCTGATCCATATATAGTGAAAAAGAAATGAAGACCAAACGAATCGAAGGTAGTGAATGTTGCTTGCGAATTGCCCCGCGTGTGACTCGTACAAAAAAAGTCTCGCAGCCACAATATTACTGAAGAGCTGTGGTACTACACGATGTGAGGGAACTATGGAAGCACAAGTGTCATGCAGTTGTGAAGAAATAAGAATGCACAATTTCAGAACAAATAAAAAGCATAAAGATTGCATAAACTCACTTGGTATTGTTCAGTGGGAACCTGAGAGTTAACACGGTGTCTGAATTCAAAAATACAGAAATACAAGCAATATTTCGGAAGTTAGCAATAGAAGGCTGATGTAAAACAACTTATGCGTTTTTTCTGATACGAAAACTTGGGCCCTCTTGGGGTATTAAGGTAAAAAGCCTCAACTGGAATAGTCACACTGGTACTAAGTGAAGCAACGCTTGATAAGGGGGTTAGAATTTTAATTTTGAACAGAATTTCAAACCAGTACGTAATCCGTCGACTCACCCAGGCTCATATCCTCCGCGTAGATGATGTGGCTGTATCCCAGTGCCAGACGTTATGCTCCAAACAAGAGACAAATCGGTTTCTTTACGTTATCCGGACCCATTTCAAAAAAGGAGGATAAGCTGCTCAACTTGCACCATATTCAATCACATCTTTATAGAAAAAAAAACAACCTCCCACCACGTTAAAAAAATCGACATGTCACCTAGATGCTTGACAGGTTCCAAAAGCTTTGCCTAAGCACAGTTTTGACCAGTTTTCTTGATCGTCACCTCCCTTAACAACTTTGAAAATGCTGTCACTATGACGCCGTATTTTTTCGGATGCATAACAGATTTCGAGAACTTAGAAGAGCGCTACGGTTCCAGCATCCAAGTGAAGTAATACGCGATAGTGTGTTATGTACACGACTTCACGCCACCATGTGAAGTGCTCCCTGTATCATTGCAGAAAGCGTCAAGATCTTCAACTTTTGGAGTTGCTTCTATAAAAAGAGCCAGACAGCTCGCGTATTTCAAACTCCCTTACCCAACCGAAATGATTACAAAACATGTTAAGCTAAACCAAAACGTTTTAAATGTCCTCTGGTCATGCGCAGGTAAACAGCCCTCACATCTATCTATAACAAATTCCTTGCTAGACTGAAGCAGGTATGCAATGAAACTTGAAAATAGGTTTGAGAAATTAGGTATTTATACATCTAAGAATGAACAAATTCGGGACTCACTGAGATCGAATGATCAACAGGACGTCTGTGCAATCGATTCAGACAATTTGTGGCAGTAGAAGATTGCACTCCACCCAATTTGGTGGATCGTTCCATCCCGGCGTCACTGTTAGCGGAAGACCCGACTGCATTGACTCCATTTGGAACAATCAACCTAGATACAGCAAGCAGATTGAAATACTGAAATTTCCTAATCAGGAAATTTCAGTATTTCAAAAAATCAAAAAAAATCTAAGAAGGATGAAAAAAGGAAGGTGTAAGAAAGATGATCTTGTTAAGCTTGTGACAACCATAAGGGAAGGAAAGAAAAATATGGCTATGTGTATCAGAGTGGTTTGTATCGAAATAATTACGAGCTACGCCAATATGCCGTGAAGTCGAATTCAAAGGGCTGCTTAGCACATGCAATCATATTTGACAGATGAAACTCCTTGATGTTTTGTATACTGCAAAAAATCTGTTTTATCTGAAATATCATAGAATTATAGAATGCGCCTTTTGAGATATTATTTACTTCTGAAATAGGTGATTGATATGGAAACATACAGCATGAATAGAACAGAAAGACCAACGAAAACAAGAAAAGTGGGCGCACACACCGACACACCAAACGCCGATTATAGGTCAGACGCCGTCATCGATTGATTGGAGCACGCTTTCCTCCTTAGGAAACGGGGCTGCTGAGGCTATTTTTGCCTCTAGCAATGGGGAGAGGAGGAGGGTTGAAACCAAAATTTCAGTATATACTAATGTTTAGGTGCAGAGTACATTTATGTAAGAATTTTGAAAAAATTATGTGAATTGAGAGTTTTGCCGACCTCAAATGGGAATTAGTTAAGCACGCTCTTCATTCACATAAGTTTTTCATGATATTTTATACTTCATTACTTAGTCCTATTGCGCATATACACACCAAGTCCCGCGCGATTCTGTTTCCTCTGCGTTGCAAACGAGCCATTTTTCCATTTTCTTGATAATGGGAAATTTTCAGACAAAAGCTTGCCACAACATTGAGTCACATAGATTTTCAATGAAACTTCTAAGTTAAGCCCTGCAGGCCCGTGTTCATCTACCTACCAAGTTTCATACCATATCGTCATTTGTGCGCTGTAAACGAGCCATTTGAATTCACATCTTCATTTACCAGTTTTGCAAAACTTTCGGAACAAATGCTTATTACTCGTTCCG